AATGAACAACCTTTGCCTCTGCACTTGACTCAAGTTTATTTCTATAGAAAACAATATTTCTGCAGTGAAGGGTGTATTTTCTTGTCGGCCTCATTCTGACGTGCTGCTGTAACAAGTGAACTTTCCTGGGGTGGGATCAATAAAGTTTGATCTTATCTTGTCACAGAATGAACACAACAGTTTGCACATGTGCGTCCATCAGCCTGCGGTGTGTGTCTGAGCGAATAGAAAGATACCAGGGGTGTCAGCGCTGCTGTGGTCCCAGAGGTCAGAGGTCAGAGAGCTGACAGACTGAGCCTGGCTGTGGGCGAGAGACTGCTGCGAGTGCTGTCGGCTCAGTCTGCGGCCTGCCCGCTCTAACAGACACCAGGGGGCAGCACCAGGCAGAAAATAACAGCCAGCAGGACACAGACAGAAACAAGGACAGGGGAGGAGAAGATCGAGAAATAATGGTGAGTCGACAGAAAACACAGAAAAACAGAGGAGCTAACGATGCCTCCACCACAGCAACACGTCTTTAAAGGGAGAGCTCGGTGTTATTCTCAAGACTTTTAATGTCAGTGCATTTGTTGGAGACTGATTCCAGCTCCTGTGAGTATTGGGGGCAGCAGGGTGGTGGGTGTGTGTGTGTGTGGGATCAAATGTGTGTTCATGCTTTTAGATGCTCACACAACACCGAGAGGTTCTGTTGTCATGAAGGATTTTGCGATAACCACTCGACAGATAATCACGTTACTTGGTGGAAGGATGTGATGAGTGTCAGGGAAGAACTCATTTAATTATGGTGCAGATCCAGGATGTATTTTAATATTATAATCATTTATTTTACATTTTAGAGAATTCAGAGAATAATTCGTGGATCTTGATTATATTAGGAATATTTAGGGAACTGGTATCTAGGAGTGTGTGTGATTTGGTGCAGCAGAATTGAATCTAAGCGACTGTTGGGCCTTGATGGAAGTTTGTGCTCTACATCTCTTAGTTCTGGATAAAAACTCTGCAACCTTTTAAAAGCTTTTTCTTGATATGACGCAGATCCAAATAAAATCTGGATTGAGTGAATTTAAATGTGGTTTTATAATGAGACTGTTGGCGAAGGTATGAGCTCCCAGTGACGTTCTAGTTGGTGAGTTCATCTCTTAAAAAAGCGATTGTGAATTAATTAAAATGACTTTTATACGTGTGTTAATTCAAACAAAGGCCAAGAGATTTTTTTTATGCAAATGCAAAACACACTTTATGTCTGGAAGCATGATTAGTGTTATTTTAGCAAACGGGGGGGAGTCAGGTGATCTACCAGACATCCTGCGGAGGCTCTTGGACTGGACGTTGTCCTCCAGAGGGTCAAAGTCAAATATGGAGCCGGGGTCTGTCCTCCACACCTTCAGGTCTTCAGAGAGGTGGGAAAATCAATGAGTGTGTGTGTGTGTGTGTGTGTGTGTGTGTGTGTGTGTGCACAGACTCTAAAAGTCCTCGTGCCAAGAAACAAAACGACAGAAGACTGAAGTCACTATGAGAAGTCACAATGAAAGTGAGCAGAGCTGGTGTCCTCGGTCAGTTCTGATGTTTCCACTCCACCACCGTGTATAAAAGGCTTTTATTGTGAAAGGTACTCTGTAAATAAACATTAAACCTAAATATTTGGATTCAAATTTCACCCCGCCTCTCACAGCTCTGCTCCGTCCAATCAGGAGGCGTCGACACACACACACGCCTACAGTTGGATCACTGACCTACGATGATGCCTCCCGGTCGTCTGTCCAGCTCCATCACCTGGGGGTGGATCCCTTTGCCGTAACCCGCCTCTCCCATCATCTGATTGGATCTCTGGTAGCGCTCCATGCTGGGATCGTCCAATCCCGGAGTGCAGCCTCGACCGCGCGCTCGCTCAAAGTCCTCGTGGTACTTGGCCTGTTGAAACACACAAACACACATTAGTGTCAATGTTGTAATGACAAAGAGGTAACACACACACACACACACACACACACACACACACACACACACACACACACACACACA